GCTCCAACATTCTTAACTTCAGCATCACATGAAGGTGAGTGAGTAGATTCACGTCCCTGCTGCTTTACTCCCTGCAAGAAAGCCCGGTACCCAATGGACAAGAGCCTATCTCGACGCTGTGAAGAGGAAAACCTCTTGCTCCTGTCAGAAACTGAAACAGGCCATGGCCTAGTCGCAATACCAATGGGAGTTATCCCGATTTACAACGTAATCCAAAACCCACATTCCTCCCATCTACGTCCAGATCTACCAACTGGTCTCTTCCTTTTAAATGTATAAGCCTAAAAATATGGACCTAGAACCGTATGAAATGAAACAATAAAACCACTGGGGTAAAATCCTGATTAAATTAAACTGAAAACACCCTTTCCAATGGCCACATCTTCAACACATGATTAACAACCAGTCAAAAACAAACAATGAAACAGTAAATGAAAACTACCCCAATTACCGTAGCAAAACAACACTAGCTTTACATAGTAAAATGATGAATCACTGTGCATACAGACTACTCCATAATTAGTTAATTAATTAATCAATAAACACTACCCTGCTTCATCAGATATAACCAAAAGTTATGAACTCATATTCCCTAATGCAGTTAATTAAACAAGAACTCGTGGCCGCAACCTGCAAAAGCCAACATCGGCTAACATGATCTATTCACGGCTCAATAACGCGCCTGTCATTGGCTCGGATCATACAGTGTCAAATACTGCGCTTATTCGTTGAGTAATAAATTGGAGAGGACGTGGAAAGGGACAGTCGTGGGCTTATTCAACATGCTATCCTGGCTCTAGCCTGCAGAAACCCTCAGACAGAAGAGCCCAACAACTAAGTAAAATGAAATCAAAGGTTTCCGTACGAATTATAATAGGTAGAGATATGTAACAATACGCGACATCTGTTGTCGAATACGTAAACCACTTCTATCCGGTTACGTTTCACAGCCGTCACAGCATGTACAATAAACAAGCACGTGGACGTACAGACTCGTCAAAGAAAGTCACGTCAGTTACCTACGTAACGAATCCGAAGGAGGAAAACCACTAATACAGAAGTCCACTACTGGACATGGGAGCAGGGATAACGCAGTCGGTATTGTGACTGGCTACGGGCTGGACGGTCGAGGGGGTCGGAATTCGAGTCCTGGTAGGGTCAAGAATTTTCACTTCTCCATGTCGTCCATACCGGCTCTGGTGTTCACCCAACCTCCTATACAATGGGTACCGGGGGTAAGGCGGCCGGAGCGTGAAGCTGACCACTCACCTCCAACTAGTGCCGAGGTCTAGAAAATGTGGATCTATACAGCCACTCCCCCATACGTCTTCAAGATGTAGTGCTTAATTAGTTAAGCATAGGGACAACTTCTTACTACTGGACATGACCGAGGGCCATATCATTCTACATCCTACAAGTATATTGACACGACCGCTTCGGAGTATCCGGCTGACTCCATCTTCAGAGAACATCAAATCTCCGCTTATCCTAATCAGTATAAGTTATTCCAAAGAATTGGAAAAGTAGCGGCTCCGGTCTAGAAAACCGAGATTAACGGCCTTGAGAATCCGTTGCGCTAACCACGTGACACCCTCTATCCGCAAAAGTTGGCACTAACTTCGCCGACAAGTGGCGGTCTCTCGGTCGGTATAGTTCGCTTGCGGACTAAAAGCCACGGAGTTTTCATGCAGTTTAAAGGTGAAGAATTCTTGGCCTTACGTCCCACCTCTGGGGGCCACACCCTGTCGTCTGTCCGCCGCTGCGTATTCAATATTGCAGACGCTGTCCAAATTTGGACCCTCCCCCACATCGTCTGAGGACGCGTCATTATAACCACTGACCCAGCAAACAAATTATTACGTGAAAGATATAAAAAGCGTGAAGCCATAATAAACTAGTAAGGAATGGCACATTAAATTCCAACTTTCATTATTATTTTATGGTGGGAAAACAAACGCCACTGCAGAGGTCCCTTAATAATTTATTCATAAACGGTGGGGAGTCCTGTCTGTTCAGTGTGTGGGATAACTTAAGTTACACGTCCAATCGATCTCCTTCCAGTGACGTCGAACGATGACGTTGCAGAGTCAGTCGTAGTACGGAAAGAGGATCAGAGATAGCAGCACCATGAGGGAATCATAAGTGTGCCGTATCTCGTACTGAGAGCTGTATCGATATGCTAAAGCAGAATATGAAACAAAGATGGGGGAAGAAGTCAAATATACAAACCGCACAAATTCAAAGAAGCTGACTACTTTTATCCTTTCAGCATGCAGTTACGTGAACGAAGCATTCGCAAATCATTCCAATTATTCACGTCGTCGCATAATCGCTTATCTGAACCAATAACCATACAAATGGATAATTCAAAAGTTACTAGTTATCATAGGAACGAGATTATTTTCTGAATGGTAAGTTTGAATTTTCATTTCATATCGTTGTTAAATTTTAATTTCTGTTCCACTTTCGAGTGTGAAGTTACGTGAGAGTGATAAGACATGTTATCTGAATATACTGCAGTGCAATCAGTAAATTACACTGAAGAGAGCAGTCTTCTGGGATGTGGCACCGTGTAGATGTGGTGTTAACTGACGTTTGGGAGGAACGTATCGCCTCCATCTTCAGGGTAGAAGGAAAAATAAGAAATCCGCAAGCGAAGAGACTGCTTGTACCGATTCTCACGGTCCCTTCGCTTGCGGATTTCTCATTTTTCCTTCTACCCTTAAGACGGAGGCGATACGTTCCTCCGAAACGTCGGTTAACACCACATATACACAGTGCCACATCCCAGAAGACTGCTTTCTTCATAGTCACCGCGGTAAAAACCTCAAATCTTAGAATAAATTACACTGTTTTTTTTTCCCAGTATAACATCCGGCCATGAGAAGTATGCTTTGTTTATGTTTGTAATTTGCCTCATAAGAACAGAAAACTGATATTTCACGACTTTCCCAGAAATCCGGCATATTCTATGTACTGAATAATATCTCTGTTTTATTTTCCTCTGGCTCATCTACCTGGCATTAGGAAACTTAATACACTAAAAAAAGTTTATCTCAATGATACTTTCATGAAAGAAAAGAACTGTATAGAAATTGACTAACCCATGTTATTCCACATGTTAAATTTAATAATCAACATTTTCATTATCAGTTTATTTTCACTGAAAATTATATAAAAAATAGTTTTAAAGCCAATATAATAGGAATATGTTCTAACAAAATAACTTCAGTGTTCATTCTGTACTTAATCAGGAACAGGAGACGCAACAAAGCACACAACAGGAAGGAGCGCACGCGCGCGCGCACACACGCATGTGTTGTTGAAAAGAGATGGCTGTACTGTATACATTTCAGATTAATGTCACTGAATATGAATATCTATGACAGAAACATATACTTCCTTCAAGTTTACCAAACATCATCTGTCTTGAACACTTGCGAACATTAATTTTTCCTACATACATAATATATATATACATATGTAGGAAAAATTAATTTATATATATTATATAAAACTCAGAATACTCCAGTTCCTTGTAGCAAGGGTATTTGGATTTATGTACAAGAAACGCTTGCACTTCCTTATGGGAAGTGCTGAGAAACCTTCTCCCTATATGAGTGATGCGGTGCTGGCTAAATCAGTTCACATTTCTATAAGCAGTAAGTTACTCTGCAATACAAGGGACCAACACTGCAACATTATTAACATTACATCTGAGTATCCTGTTTCACTGATTAATTAGGCTGGCTATTTCTTTTCAGGTGAGCCGGGATAGCTCAGTCGGTATAGCGATTGGCTACTGGCTGGACGAACGAGGGGTCGAAGTTTGAGTCCTGGTGGAGTCAAGGATTTTCACTCCTCCATGTCTTCCAGACAGACTCTGGGCTTCACCCAACCTCCTGTCCGATGGGTTCCGGGAGCTCTTTCCCGGGGGTAAAGAGGCCGGGGTGTGAAGCTGACCACTCACCTCCAGCAAGTGTCGAGGTCAAGAAAATGTGGATCTATACATCCACTCCCCCATGCGCCTTTATGGTATAATGCTTAATTAGTTAAGCACAGGGACAACTTTACCTTTATTTGTTTTCAGTCTTACTGGTGTGTCCTTTTGTGTATGGTTACTGCCTCACCGTATGGTGTTATACGGAAATTCTCATGTGGCATGTTCTTCCACTGTTGGTTCACTCTGCAGCATACGAGTATATGAATTTTTAATTATTCATTAATTTTAAACCTAGCTTCCCTCAGATTGACGACACGGTGAAACACCTTATGGCGTAGGATATACTTGAGGAGGAACATGAAGACCGACATATATTTTGATCATGAGAACGAGTAAATGAAATATGACCGTGTTGCAAGAACCACGCAGCAATTTAATAAAGTTGCATTAATAAGGCCAAAAATAAACGGCTAAGTAATTCGAAATTATTAATTGCTATGTTGGGAGTGAGAGGAAGGTGTACGTTTGATAGTAGAGACCCCTCTGACTGACTGAGCTCTTGGGAGCGTTGCCTGACGTAATATGCACAAGCAGCAGTTCATTGGCGCTTTTCTGCTTCAAATAAACGATTAGGCGACATCTTTGGGAATAATTTGAATTACTTGCTTGTACTTGGTTCAAGTAACTGCGTACTCCACGTTTAGATGTCGCTACGTGTATCTTATTATTTCGTAAACTGTAGCCCTGACCACAATTCTGTATCTGTACTTTACGATTGCTGTTCTGTTTATTGGAGATACATTTACATTTGAATTTGTAGCTTACATGGAAAGATAACGATGAGGAATTTGGGATTTCTTCGTTTCTGGGCCGTACCCGTAATCAAATGGCAAACTGGGTTACATTTTCCTTCTGTCAATAGATGTCTCTAGTTTAACATCTGAAGTTCATTAATTTCCATGCTGCTTCTATTTCCGACAGGGAACGCTAGCGAACCTAGTGACAATTCTGTAAATCGTACAAGACACGTGGGTGCAACAAACACGACGCCTCTTACCTTCAGGCAGTTCTATTTGCGACATTGACCTCACCTGCAAGAAACAAAAACATGACTTACTCCTCATAATTAAATTAAAGCAAATTCTTAGCAATCATAAATACATACTAACTTTTAGTTGGAAGACCTGACACCTTGGGACATACAGATATACTCAAGAGGATATTATTAAAATGTGCGGAATGGACTTCTTTCAGATACAGCATTTGTTAGTTCTAATTATTATAAGGAAGCTTACTGTATTCTTGAAAGTTACGACATGAAGTCTGGTACATACTGCGAACCAACACAACGTATTCGGGAAAAGTGGCTCCGTTTCTCCGGGGAGGCACCTACTTACTTGGGTCCGTTAAAAAGTCTTAACGTTTATTACAATTCAGAGGATGAAGTAGATGTTATCCCTGTACGAGGCCCTGGAGGCCCACAGGGTTGTGAGACGTTCGGGCTCCCACATTTTCCCTTGACAATCGGCTCACAGATAGCGGTGAGTTTGTCAGCCTTACGCGCTGGCCATCCTTTTTAGAGGCTGAGTCGACATCAAGGGCCATAGTGCGGCTGAAAGCATTATGTCAATTTAAAAATGTAATTACCTCACCGGGAATCGAACCAGCGACCTGACGGCTTGTAGCATAATGCTCAGAGAATGAGACCAGGTACTCTTGTTATTAGGGTCTAGTAACTGGAGATTAGCTCTTTCTAACGGGCCCAACTACGTAGATGTGTTTACCCCAGACCATTTTTCTGTACGAGAACGGAATCAAATCAACCTGCGAAACACTGTGTTCATTCACAATACTAGATCAGTGGCAAAGAGCAGTAACTCAGGAATCTAAAGCGTTAAATGGAGATCTTACAACCTCTGCCCACACTTGGACTGAATTCGAGGCCGGACCCATCTGACGTGGCGCAACTCGTCCGTTCAACTCAAATGAAGGGCTTGTGGCGTCTGAAATACGGGTCAGCATGTACAGCGTGGCATATGAACACCCTCAAAACGAACAAAGCACTCACACTATTCGGAACATTCGGGAAATCCTATGTTCATGACTCGACTAAGAGTCTCACCGAAGCATTCCGTGTTTTTCTCAGTTAATCCAGGGAAATTCCTGGACAGTACCTCAAATTAGACCAATAAGACCCCCATCCAGGTCCTATTCAATTCTTTATTCTTAAATCCTTTCACGATCAATTTGTCTTCTTGTCTTCCACTTATTTCCTCTTACTTCCTCTTTTTCTTCACGTCGGTTTATCTCCTCCGTACTTCCTTTTCTCTTAAACCTCCCCCCACCCCCCACCCCAAAAAATGTAAAAAGTAAAGCTATCACTGTAACAGGCCGTGAAGGCCCATAGGGTTGTGAGACGTTGAGGGTCCCACATTATCTAGACCAAGGGTCTCCAAACTACAGCCCGCGGGCCACATCCAGCCCGCGAAAGAATTTTGCAGAAATGCGCCAATTGAACTATTTTTCCAATGAGTACTGGTAAAAAAAATACTTGTTCATAGATTTCAACGGATGTTTGTAATACCTCTCAACTATTAGTATTTTTTCGTGGCGTCGGCGATGAACTTAATGTCACACAGGAATTAGCGTCACTTCACAGCATGCATGGCACTACAACAGGAGATGATATCTTCAAAGAAATACAAAAAACACTAACAGAATATAATTTGGACTGGAACCGTCTGCAGTGCGTGACAGTTGATGGAGGAAAAAACATGTCTGGTATAAAAATATGTTTGGTTGGCCAAATCACAAAAGCTTGTGAGGATGCAGACATATCAAAGCCAATGTTCTTCACTGTGTTATCCACCAACAAGCACCCTGTGCAAAACACGTTGATATGAGCTCTGTTTTAAAACCTGTCATTTCTATCGTTAATTTCATTCGCTGTCATGCACTTAACCATTGCCAGTTTCGGTCTTTTCTCGGGGAATGTGATTCCGAGCTTATTGACCTGACATATTATACTGCAGTTCGATAGCTTAACTACGGAAAGGTTCTTTCACGCTTCTTTCAGCTCAGGAATGAAATTGATATATTTCTTACCGAGAAAAACTATCATGAACCACTTTTATCAGATACCGAGTGGTTTTGGAAATTAGCATTTTTTGCTGATCTGGTGAACCATATGAACAATTTGAATTTAAAGTTACAAGGTGAAAACAACTTAGTCTGTGATTTATATGAACTTACCAAAGCATTCAGAAAAAAAGTTGATACTTCTGGAAAGCCAAGTGAAAAATTGTAACTTTGTTCATGTGCTATACTGTGCAGAGTTGCATAAAAAGGATGAAGCAGAATTTCCTTCCTCGTTTGCAAATTTAGTCATTTTAGATTTGAAAGAACAATTTCGGAAGCGATTTGCTGATTTGGATGCCAGTGCTCAGGAAATTAGATTGTTTCAAAATCCGTTTGACTGTGATGCTGCAGATGTCCCAAGTCAAATTCAAATGGAAATTATTGAACTTCAGGAAAATTATCATATTAAAGACAAATACAAGGAAGGAAATTTGATGGAATTTTATAAATTTCTGAACTCTGAGCAATTTCCAAATTTAAAGAAATTTGCTTGTAAATTTATCTCCATTTTTGGGGCGACATATCTGTGTGAACAAACTTTTTCCCAGATGAAGTAGCCTACATCAAGTCGAAATACAGGGCAAATTTATCCGATGAACATTTAAAGTCGCTACTTGTGATTAGCGTTTCAAAATTTGAACCTCAATTTAATCAGATTTTAAGAATGCAAAAAGAGTTCCATCATTCACATTAATTGTTTTATTATAATTTGTGATGAAAATGTGAGCATTTACTGCTATTGTCTGTTGTCATTGATATACGATAACTTATTCTCACGTACTTTGTATTTAGTTTATGAAATTCTGTGCTTTCAATAAAACTCATATACCTACAGTTATTAATTTCTCATTTTATCCGGCCCGTTGAAAGTGCTGAATTACCTAATATGGCCCGCGGTTCCAAAAGTTTGGAGACCCTTGATCTAGACAATCGGCTCAAATATGGCGGCAAGATTGTCAACCCTACACGCCGGCCGCCCTTAACCCCCAAGAATATTCCTGCTACTCATTTCTGTTAGAGGCTGAGTCGACCCCAGGGCCATAGTGCGGCTTGATGTATTAGGTAAATTGAAAAAAATCCAATGACCACATCGGAACGTGAACCCGCGACCTTCATGCTTGTAGCATAGTGCCTCAACCAACTACGCTACCGCGTGCCCCCCATTAAACATTCCCCATTCTCGTATTAATTTCCTATCTCATTTCAAGCCATTTCCTTTTGCCTTCCGTCTCCTTCTGCCCTCCGTCTTTAGTCTCCTCTACCAGAATTATTCTCAATCCTCGTTTCTTCCTCCCACTCTTCTCTCCCTGTCCCTCCATCCTATCGTCTTGTGCTTCTGTCCCAGAATCATCACTACTCTGTATGGAAATAATGACGGTATCCACGTTGACGTTATCTTCCTAAATATACTCTAGTGTACGGATCCGTTGCTAGGCAAAGACCCTGAAACAAACGAGTACAGCCGTTGCTATACAACAGGAGAATAAACGGCAGCTTCTAAGCAACGGCTCAGGAAACCCGATTCCACAGAGAACACGCACACAACAGAACGGTGTTTTCGATGTGGTCCGCGCCGAAGGATTATAAAGAAGACGCCTGCGGCAATGCAGTCGGTTGAGGGTTGGCAACTGAGTTCTGCACGGGCGGCTGACACAAGAGGACCTGAGAGCGGGAAGCTGAAGAATCCCCAGTGTTAGAAGCAGTTGCCAGGAAAAGTCTGGTGAAGACTGAGAAGACTTAGCGTGTGTTTGTGATTTGTGAAGTGTGGAACTTAGCGACAGCGCTGTAATCACTCGTGGTTCCGAGTGGTGTGTGCAAATGCTCAATAAATCCATTCACAAATCCATACCATGTCTACAGTCACACCCTTAAATGTGACAATACGTACAATGTATTGTTTCGGCAGTTACAATACGGCATAGTGAATCTCAATTTATAAATGTATTAAAACTCTTATCTACAACATAACCTATGCTTTGCTGCGTGACATGTAAATACGCTGTATATACATTCATGTAATATTTAGGTTTGTTAAGTATCTTGTAGATACTTTGCATAAATCGAAACTAAACAAAAAGGGGCAGAAACATCATCGAAAATAAAATATCCAACTCTTCAGTCTCTCAATAAATGTGGGCAGTGTGTGTAACAGCGAGAAAATCTGCCCCCCCCCCCAATCCACTTAAATTCGGAATAAACCCAGCCTTTCTCGTCTTATTACACGGTTAGGTCAAAGACAGGACCGAAACAAGTCGACATTCTCAGCTTCCGGGTGTAGAGACACGTTTGAGGAGATTCGTACTTGAAAAATTTTTACATCACACAAATCAAGCACAGTTTAAATGTTTAAAAAATCTACATTTTCATAATTTACAATCTTTCCAAAAATATTATAAAACAGAAAAAAATCTACATTAAAAGAAATTCCGAACAAATCAGAAATTCAAAACGTTTCTTACAATATATGAAACACTTAAACAAGAGAATTATCTAATGCCATCTGACGAAGTTCAATCCCAACGGAAGAAGCAAGCGTAGAGGTCTGTTACGCAAACGTAATCTAACCTATTCTAACCTAACCTTAACATAACTCAACCCGTTCAAGCTGTGTCCAAATGAGAGGCAAATACGCAATGGCTTAACGCCCAAACCTAACCTGACCTAGCCCAATACGAAAGCTATCTGCGAAAATAACAGGTGGATGCGCAGTGGCCTAGTGCGCAAACCTGATCTACCTTAACCTAAGACGACCGTGAAACAATATATACTTACACAACCAATCAATATCTGATGGAACTTAAAAATATCTTCCCAATTTGGAAAATATTTAATATTTATATATATTATCTCGAGAAATGTTGGTATTTTCCCAAGATCTACGGCCATACATAACTTCAGGACCCTCCTGTAACTGGCACTAGTGACCCTCCCACCTCAGAACTTCACGAATCCATAAGTTTACTATTTCCCATTAAATAAAATCTGAGTGTACACCGTTGGTTTGGCCTTCGACGGCATAACGTCCATATTAACTTTCGTGATAATCAGTCAATTGGTTCATAAGGTGATATGGGTACCTACAAACCGACAATCTCTACGCTGAATTAATCTTCTCCATCCGATCACCCGCACAAGGGAATCAATACATAATTACAAATATAAACCTTAATTAAACATTACGGGCATGGTAAAGCAATATACGATAATCGATACATATGTTATATCAATATTATCATGTTGGCTGCCCTTGTTAAATACGTAATCAATATGGAAGTGGCCACGTATTGAACCGCGATGAAACAACAAGTTTCCATTACCTAAGTCAATTGTAATTCAGTGCGTCAAGGATTAAAAACGTGCATAAGAACACCGTGTGTGTACTCACTAACCCTTTCATATTAGAGTTGTACGCCCTCCTGCCAAACATACATATTCCTTGTGTACAATGTGTCTCTTAGTGGGTACAACAACGTTTTATTTTACAGATGTGTTATAACTCCGATCTCAAACTAAATCGACGTTCTCCCACGTAACTGTACAGGTCTACATACGTAAGTACCGTGTATATACACTCACGCTAATATGTTGGAAAGCGTCATATAGCTACTTTACATGAATCGAAGACAAATCAAATTGGAAATAAATACTATCAAAAACGTAATACGGAACTTAGTTCTCAAGTGACGTGGGCAATGTGTGGACGAATGAGGAAAATCTGTCACTTCTGTACAGTTCTCAGCAATGCAAACATAACCTGCCTTAATACATCTTTGTCAAAACCAGGAACTGACTGATCAAGCTTAGGTAAATGGTCATGTATTTTGAAAAATTCAAAGAAAATTTCAAAAAGTCGAAAGTACCCCTAAATTTATTAAACCCCCATTTTCTTAAAATATTAATAATAACATTCCAAATAAAAAAATTAAATTTCCGAATATGTCAAAAATTTGTACCTGACCAAATCCTCTGAACCATCCTCTATCAAAATGCACAAATCTATATCATGTAACAATTATCTATAGAGACGAAATAAATAATTAAATAAACAAATGGATATGGAGTTGCACGAAGTAAAAGCCTCACATAAACTAAACTATACTAAAATAACTAGCTCTTATGGAACATATATTAATGTTACTAATCCACAACTGATACAATTTAAATATATTTTCAGAATTTTGAAAAAATTATCATAATTTAAATATATCACCTCAGCTTCAGATGTGGTCAGTGTTGTCAAGGTTTCGGAGGTGCTTGCTGCCACCATCTGCATGGTTCAAGTACCATGCTTAATTAAGTCCCATGCCATTGCAGTGTGGGTGTACATAAGCATTTCATTGAAAATCCATTTCTTCAAGAATTGTATAAGTTTCTCTAAACGTAATTTGCAATGTCAATACTTGACTGAGGTGTAATTCCTTTCATGCTTTCAATGAAGTGAAGGTAGTAATAACCCTAAACATATTTTAAATGAAATTCTTTGTCAGGTACAAAAATTTACATCTACCTCATCACTGCAGTTTCATCCCCAACTCAATTGGGTTGGTGTCAGGCTAAGGCTGATTACATACAGTAACAACGGAAGAAACAGATTTGGAATGCAAGCTGTGAAAAAGATGTGGGAGGAATCATTGGAACAGGTTTGTATTTTTGTTTCCTCCACTGACTACAAAGCAAAGGCCTGGTGTGTCACAAAATTATTTCTACTGCTGATCTTTTGAAATATTTCTGAGAATATTTTATCAACAGGCAACTTGCATGATAATTTAAAATAAATCTGACACTATTTCAACCTTTGCACATATAAGTATTTCTGATGAAAATTATAAGGAATGTCTGCGTTTCGGACTAAATGTGTACATTTATCCTAAGACTGTGAAACATCATACATAAAATAATTCAGGACAGCAATCCAACTGTCTTGTTTCTGTGTTTCATACACCTGTCCTTATTTTTATTGTCGTATATTTATTGGTTTTTATTAAATGTGTTTCTTAATCCTTACAATTTCTTGTTTGCAGAGGAAGAAACCATTCATTATGCAGTCAATTTGTCTTACAAACAGCAAGTCTCTGAAAGAACTGTATATTATGTATCTATATATACATGCATAAAAAAGATTATGAATTGGACACTTGACGATTTTAATAATTTTTAGCTTTAAGGGACCTAACCTGACATTGTCAGCATTGGGTACAAGATGAAAATGCAAACAAAATACTGGATATTAGGGAAATATATTAGGCACCTTGTTTTAATTTTTTGAAACTCCATTAGCAGTGTTGCATCAGCAATCATACAGATGCAGACAGTAATATACATGTAAAGAACAACATAATCATTAGTTGGTTAGTTGGTGTATGCAAACATAATATTTATTGCCAAAATCATTTTGATTTCATTCACTCAAGTCCATATTTATGTTCACTACAATCAACAACATTTCTTATAATGTTTTCATGATAATATTAGCAGCTTTCTCTGGGGATGAGTTGGAATTATATGTATGAGGTGTTTCTGATTGTCCTCAATGGATGAACCTCTAAGTAGAATTAACACAGGCAGAATATCTGATAAAGTGTTATATCTTTGTTAGAATACCATAATTGTGACTAATACGTCTTTAATGTTGTTCTTATGTCTGTCATTCAAATGTTTTATATTCTACATAGCAGTAATACATACACATTTTACAGTAACAGCAGCCTATAACACTTTAAAGAACAATTGTCATCTCTGAGTTTGTGTAGGTTAAGCTGCTGGTCTATGCTGACAATGTGAATGTACTGGGAGATAACATACTCATGGATATACCACAAAGAAAAAATAAAAACTTTAATTGAGGCTAGTAAGGAGGCTGGTGTGGGAGTAAATGAATGGAAAAATAAGTATACGTTACTGTCTAGTCACCAAAACACAGGGCAAAATCATGACATGAAGATAGTTATAAGAGCCTATGAAAATGTGGCACAGTTTAGATATTTGGGAACCACAGTAATAAATCAAGGTCTTATTCAGGAGAAAGATAAGAGCAGACTAAATTTTGGTAATCCTTTCTACCATTCAGTCCAAAACCTTTTGTCTTATCATCTGCTGTCTAAAACACAAAAATTAGAATATACAAAAAATTATAACTTTCCCTGTGGTTCTCTACAGGTGTGAAAGTTGGTCTCGAGACTGAGGGTGTTTGAGAACAGGGAGCTGATGACAATATTTGGACCGAAGAGTGATGAACTGACAAGGGACTGGAGAAAACTGCATAATGAAGAGCTTCATAACTTGTACTCCTCTCCAAGTATAATCAGAATGATCATGTCAAGGAGGATGAGGTGGGCAGGGCATGTGGCACGAATGGGGAAGATGGGGAATGCATATAGGATATTGGCGGGAAAGCCAGAAGAAAGGAGACCACTAGGAAGACCAAGATGTAGGCGGGTGGATTCTGGCTAAGGATAGGCAGTGACAGAGGAATCTTGACAACACAGTAATGAACCATTGGGTTCCATAAAATGCTGGGAATTTCTTGAGTAGCTGCACAACTGGCAGCTTCTCAAGAAGGACTCAGCCTCATGGAGTTAGTAAAACTTAAAACTAAGGCCATAACTGGTTCCTTCCACATTCCAACCAACCTCTAATCATTCCTAATCACCTTGTCAGCTATAACAGTATGTATTTGATACTGTTACATTCGCAGAGCATACAGAAGTAAGAGAACATACAAACTGTATCATAAAACAACAACGATGATGACCACGATGATAACAACAATAATAATTTGACCTGAAATGTGTGTTCAAGTCTCTGACGTCCATTTTATGACTTTCATGCCCATAATGCTTGCAGGTCTAATGATGGAAGGAAGAGAACCAAGGGTAAAGGGTAACAGTGTTCTACATCAGACATTCTTCAGCAACTAACAACTGATGCAAAACAATAAGACTTCTTTGCAACAGACATGAATCAGCACATTTCTAACAAAACAAAGTGACATTTAAGGAATGACTGGAAGATTACGCATCTGGCTTAAATTCATTACGGTATGCCTTTGACATACTGTAATCTGGCAGCTTTATCAAACCTCTCTCCTACAAAGAGGGCCTGCTCTAGAAAGATGAAAACAACAGTGGTTAAGACCTTCTATTACTAGTTCATGGTTAACAACATTAATGCCATTCAAAATCTGTTTGGTGAGCCTGATTTCTGTTAATATGTTATTTCTTTAATGTCTACCATATGTATATTCTATTCACATTTGTAAAGGTCAATAATCTCTCATGCATCATAGAGAGGGATTTGAGTGGTTCACTAACACAGTATTGTTCGGGCTGTTTCTGGTAGCATTATATAGTAGACATAAATTACGCATGGTTTGGTACCAAGAATGTGAGCCAGTATAGCAAAGTTGATATAGCGACTTTCTGCGGGCTGGACAACCGATGGGTCGGAGTTCGAGTCCCGGTAGGGTCAAGAATTTTCTCCACGTCGTCCAGACCGGCTCTGGGGCCCACCCAGACTTCTATCCAATTCTCCTGGGGTATATCAGCCGGGGTGTGAAGCTGACCACTCATCTGAGGTCATGAAAACATGGTCTGTACATCTACTCCCACATTATGTCTTCATGGCGTATTGCTTAATTAGTTAAGCACACAGAGAACTTTACCAGGATAGAGGTGCAGCACCCTGACATTTAATTATTATTTGCATTATTTTCCCTAGAAAGTAATGGCTGAGCAGAATGAACAAGCTTACTGTAACTATGAGCAATTAGAAAGAGCTTTTGCAACTGGTGAATAATTTCCAGTAACGATGACATTTCTATGAGAACATTACACAATCACATATCATCTGGAGTTGCTGGAAAAAATGAAGTACCTACTGGTTTGACTACATCAGGAAAGAGAACTTACAGCAGAATTTATGGGCTTCCGCACATATGTGTACTTTTAGCTAGCAAAATTTTGGAAGTAGATCAAGTAGATTCTAAAAGGTTCTGAGGATGATGTATGACAGGCCACGCCATAGCTCAAGCGGTTAGTCGCTGACTTAGATCCCGGCTCTGGTCAAGTGGGATTTGTGGTGAACAAAGTGGAGCTGGGGCGGGTTTTCTCCGAGTACTTCAGTTTCCCCTGCCAATCTTCATTCCACCAAATTTTCCATCATCATAATCACCCAGAGCAGATATAATAGGCCAATCAGTGGCCGCCGTGTCGAGTGGACCCAGTTGGACCCCACCCCCCACTAAGCGAATTACAAATGGTGTATGACACTCAGAATTACTGGATTTTGGGGCTCTGTCTACTATCCGGTATTCTAAAAACTAGAGAACACAGCGTTTCAGAAACTGTTTTTGTTTCCATCAACTCAGGACAGAAAGAGATCCAGTTTCCGAAATGCTGTGTTCTCTAGCTTTAAAATAGCGGACGACAGACACCCAGTAATTCTGACAATAAATCAGTAGTGCAAAAAAGAGCTAAATGTTGCAAATTTATTATTTGTAAATCACACCAGTAAGATAATTTACAGTAAAAGTAATACATTAAAAAAGCTATTCCTCTAACAGGTCGCGGAGGCCCATGGGGGTGTGAGATATCGAGGCTTCCACATCTTCTAGACAATCAGCTCACAGACAGCGGTGAGGTTGTTAGACTTATGTGCCGACCGCCCTTTACCCACAGGAAGATTCCTGGTATTCATTTCTGTTAGACGCTGAGTCGACCCCAGGGCCGTACTGCAGCTGGAAGGATAGGTCAAATGAAAATTCCAGTGACTTTATTGGGAATTAAACCCATGACCTTCTAGCTTGTAGCTAGCGTGTACCCCCAACAGTAAGACATTACATAATATAGTTTCACAAGACAATACACATACACATACTGCTCAGTGAAGTATGCCTACTGCAGTCTGGTAAGAAAAGTACTGACACAGTACAAGGAGTTCTCTCTTCTGGTATACAACACCATGTAGTCCAGTGAAAGTCAAGCGATGTTACAGAGGAACATAGCGCCTCCATCTTCTGGGTGGAAGAGTAAGCCAAGCAAGAAACCAGCAGAAACAGGTAGTAAACTAATCCTACAAGATCATAATCATAATAATCATTGCCGTGAATATCCTAGACTTCATACAGATAATATTAAAGCGGTGAGACCACTGCAAAGGCAGTAAAATTGGATAATGTTAATAAAAGATGTTTTCCTGTGATGAAATAGTAGTAGGAACTGTCTCAAGCCTTTGACGATGGAATTTCTTTTAATTACTATATAAGAATTCACTTGACACTTCGCAGACAACAATGCTATTCCACTATGAAGCGCAAGTAGTTAGCATCGTTTTGTGAAATACTTGCTGCATGATGCAAAACTCACATGAAACCCATATGTATACATTTTGTGGGCAAAGTGCATAGTTTGTTAATTTAAATCAGGTGGTACATATAGTAACCACCGCCTCAAAGGATTACTAACTTCATGACGTTCGGCCCGCCCTCATAAGCCACCAATTGTGCAGCTACTCAAGAACTTCCCAGCATTTTATGGTACCCGTAGGTTCATTACCGTGTTCACAAAAGCCCTCCACTGGTCCCTATCCTGACCCAGATCGATCTAGTCCACATCACCCCATCCTATTTCTCTGAGATACATTTTAATATTATCCAGGTAAAAAAGGTAATGTTGTACCTGTGGTTAATTAAGTACTGCTTTAAAGGCGTATGGGGAATGGAGGTTTACCTCCATCATTCCTGACCTTGGCATTAGATGGAGCTGAGTGGTCTGCTTTACCCCCAGTATCCATTGGACAGAAGGCTGGGTGGGTCCCTAAGCCGGTCTGGACGCTGTGGAGAAGAAAAAATCTCTTACCCTTACATGGAATCGAACTCTGGGCATAAAGACAGTAGCCAGCCGTTACTCCGTTTCCGCGCCTTTAACGGTTAATACAGAGTTAAACTAGACGGGGCCCATCTATTATGCCACAAATCAAGCAAGAACGCCAACAGAATTACTTTCATGGAGTCTGGTTTGTAAATGAGGTCACTGTAAAGGAATAGCGGCGCAGCAAGGCGTAATTAAACAGTCAACCTCATCAATTAGTAGTGTAAATAGAACTTGATAGCATGGTGCTCCAACGTCTGGGTCAT